TTCTTTACACATAATATGTGTATATGCAATAAATTTGTATTAATAAATAGACAGATATTTTAGTGCAAAGGCTTTATAACCTCAAAAAAGGCCCTGTGCTCCACCCTACGGGCCCCTCCGTGGCTTTATGAGTCTCCCAACAGCTTGATGTAAGCAGTGCAGCAAATGGCCAACAGTGAGGGGAGACAAAGTTGTTGAAAAATGACTGCCAGTAAAAAATCCTGACAATAATATTTCAAGAGCAGGTGTCCGTCTCCACTCGCTGGGAATTTCCCACTTTATGAAATGCATTTTATGGCACTGTGGTAAGAAAGGAAGTTTGTAATGTGTAATGCTTAATGCTCATCTGTTAAGACATAAATGTAATGTAGGGGCGCAGAAAAGAGAAAGTGTGTGAGTTTATAAACAGTGGGAAAGAAAGAGTAACTGAAAGATACAATGAAAACAGAGGGGACGGCTGAGAGTTGAAGATAATGGGAGGAGGAAATGGGCCAGACGATGAGATGACTCTGCCAGACTGTTTACTTTGCGGCTAATAATCATCACACACACACACACACACACACACACACACACACATCCCTGTACTGTGGTGGTACAACTCAATAAGAAATAGCTTTACTATGCATGATTACCATATTTATATTTGCTGCACAGCTTTCGCTACAAATAACAAGTTAAAGTTTGACGTTGGCTTGACGAAGCCTTAGCTGAAAGTTTAAAATCACTTTTAAAAGCTAAAAAGGTCCTAAAGTACAATAATAAAGTTCCCTCTCCATGGTAAAGAATCAATTCTTAAAGGCTGACAGAGTTAAAAACAAACCCGGTCATGCTGCTTTGAGTTTGTGCCTGTGGTCTGTCCTTTCACAAGCTCTTTCCTTGTGTGTGTAATGTGTATGGGGTCAGATCAGGCTTCAAACAGCTGACTGGACCCGTGTGTGATTGTTTGTGTGTGGGTACACGCATGTAAGTGTCTGCAGAGAGAAAGAGAGAGAGAAGCAGAAAGCTCTTCCAAGGAAGTCTAGTCACATGAACATCAGTCTGTGCTTCCCAGTTGATCATATGGTTGTGATGCAGAAGAACATTTTTAACAAAACCTCAGACAGCATTGAGTTCACTAATGCTCAAATAAAACATATTTGCTGAAAACTGTAGACTATACTGCAAATCTGACAATGTGGATTAAAAATTAAAAAAAACAAAAACAATTTAAAAACAAGATGAGACTATTTAAGTGAATGATCCAGCTTGCTTTATAAAGAGAGTGGCTCCCATCTTTTGCTGGACTGTTTGTGTTGGAGCCTGCGGGCCTGGCATGAAAATCTTATTCCCTAAAGTGGACGACTAATCACGAGTGCCAATTCTGTCGACGCTCCCTTAAGATCTACACAGAAAGCATGTGTGTGATTTTCTGTTGCATGATGTCATGGAAAGACCCGCAATTCAAACAGACCTTTAGCTGTGATGTTAAGAGTATGTGTTTAAATGATAACTTGACGAATGTGACGAGTCTTGGCCTTATAAGTTTATATGGGTTTGAACTGACACATGGGAAAGTTCATATGAAAGCCTATTTCTGTGACAGTGAAAAAAAAAAAAAAGAAGAAGAATAAAAGAAGGTAATTCCATCCACAATTGTGACTTCATTTCTTATAATTGCAAATAATAATAATAATAGTAATATTTTATATATGTCTGCAATCAGAAATTGTAAACGTAATAAAATTATATATATTACACACACACACACAGTATAGTATACTCTATGTATGTATATGTATTATACATTATGTATATATACAGTGGGTACGGAAAGTATTCAGACCCCCTTAAATTTTTCACTCTTTGTTATATTGCAGCCATTTGCTAAAATCATTTAAGTTAATTTTTTTTCCTCATTAATGTACACACAGCACCCCATATTGACAGAAAAACACAGAATTGTTGACATCTTTGCAGATTTATTAAAAAAGAAAAACTGAAAAATGCTCAGTATTTAGTAGAAGCACCCTCTTGATCTAATACAGCCATGAGTCTTTTTGGGAAAGATGCAACAAGTCTTTCACACCTGGATTTGGGGATCCTCCGCCATTCCTCCTTGCAGATCCTCTCCAGTTCTATCAGGTTGGATGGTAAACGTTGGTGGACAGCCATTTTTAGGTCTCTCCAGAGATGCTCAATTGGGTTTAAGTCAGGGATCTGGCTGGGCCATTCAAGAACAGTCACAGAGTTGTTGGGAAGCCACTCCTTCGTTATTTTAGCTGTGTGCTTAGGGTCATTGTCTTGTTGGAAGGTAAACCTTAGTTCCAGTCTGAGGTCCTGAGCACTCTGGAGAAGGTTTTCGCCCAGGATATCCCTGTACTTGGCCGCATTCATCTTTCCCTCGATTGCAACCTGACAGCATATAGTATATATAACATATCAAAAGTCACCGTAAACATTACTTTCAAATAAATACTGTCCTTTTGAACTTGTATCCATTATAGAATCAAGAAAAAAAATAAAAATAATAGAGTATTAAGCAGCGCAATGGTTTTCAACTGTGATAAGAAATGTTTCTTGAGCACCAAATCAGTATATTAGAATGATTTCTGAAGGATCATGTGACACAGAAGACTGGAGTAATGATGCTGAAAGTTCAGCTTTGCCGTCACAGAAATAAATGAATTTTTTAAATTATATTAAAATAGAAAACAATTACTTTATATCATAATAATATTCAAAATATTACTGTCATAACTATATTGTTGTTCAAATAAATACAAAAAATTACTGACCCCAAACTTTTGAATGGTAATATAGTTAAAAACAAATTCAAATCTCATTGTAAATTCTCACTGTTAGTGTTCTCATAATTATCTTTCTATTTTTTTACTCTGAAACAGACTTCAATAGAAATGACAGTCCAAGTACATGACTAACACTAATGCGAGTAAACGAGGACTTCGTTTCACAAGCACTGCGATACTGACTCAAAAACAATGTCATCTTCAGACCTGTCATCACTCGACCATTAAATCCTTCTTTCTCATGTGTCATAGTAGTGAACTGGGTCAAATATAATATTTTGACCGCTGTCCATCCTTAAAACAACTGCAAAAAGTGCTTTATTCATTTCGTCATATGGGATTCCAATAATATCGCATATCTCACTATCAAGATCATGTTAACTAATGCTGTACATTACTTTCTAATGGTTCAATGCCTGGTTCTTAAACCTGCCCATAGATCTCTTGAATTAATTGAAACTTAAAGGGATTGTTCACCCGAAAATGAAAATCCGGTCATCATTTCCAAACCTGTAAAGGCCTGTTCACACCAAGGACGATAACTATAAAGATAACGATAAAGATATAGTTCTAAAAATCGTTCTCAATATTATAGAACAGCAGAGTCCACACCGCAGCTATAACGATAAAGGCACAGAAAAACAATATCATTGGAATCACTTTCAGAACGATTTTTCTCCAGCTGATGAACGATAAAAACATTGACAGCCAATTAGAATCAATCCTGCTATAACTAGCTTGAGAATTTAAAGCAGCAGACGAGAGTGCACTTAGAATAAACAGACGATATCGTCCGCTGGTGTGGACGCAAATAAAGTTATCTTTATAGTTATCGTTATTGGTGTGAACGGGCCTTACGACTTTATTTCTTTTGTGGAACATAAAAGAAGATATTTTGAGAAATGTCTCTGCTTTTTTGTCCATACAATGGAAGTGAAAGGTAACCAAAACTGTTACCAACATTCTTCAAAATATCTTTTGTGTTCCACAGAAGAAAGGCTGTCTCTCAAACACAAAAAAAGGCATGAAGCTGCTGAAACTTTTCTGAATTTAATAAAAGAAATGATTGCGGCTTTGATAAAATGTCAAGCCTGCAGACTCTGTGGCACTTTCTGAGAAATGTTGGGGCTGACTGCTAAGTTAGCAACAATGAGTCAGTGATTGTCAGGTTCCTATGATTCTTGACAAGCTGGAGTCTGATTCTGAGCACAAACCACGCTGTTGAAATTCAGCTGGGAGCTTAAAGGCACAATATGTAATGTTCGCCGCTGGAGGGCACGTATTCAAAATAAACAAATAGACAAAGGCGTGGTATGATGACGCCGTGACTGAGTGTGGAATCATGGGAGTTGTCGTCTTCATCCCCACAGCCAATACAATCCGACGGGACTCGGGCAGAAATCATGTTCATGGATGAGCTAATGATTTATTAACGTAGTAGAATGAAGCAGGGTGCGGCTGAAAGCCATCGAAAGCGAAACGAGGCCGCTGAACGACCGTGACACAAATCAAGGGAAATCAAGGGGTTATGACGTCATTGGCAGGCGACACAATGACACTATAGACACGGTCCGTGTCACTAGTTAAAATTGCTTATTTCTCTGGATTTAAACAATCTTCAAAACATTTGGGATAATGTAAGTACACAAGTCAGCAAAATATATAACACTGTTCTAGTGGTTTTTGGATATTTTAATAAAAAAATCTTACATATTATGCCTTTAACTTCTTTTGGACTGAAGCACAAAAGATTTGGGATAATGTAAGTACACAAGTCAGCAAAATATATAACACTGTTCTAGTGGTTTTTGGATATTTTAATAAAAAAAATCTTACATATTGTGCCTTTAATGAAAGTATAGAGCAAATATTATTAGCTTGAGAACTAATAACAATGGCAGAAACTGAAATTTTACAGAGAACAAGTGGAGGAGGTAGACACAGGGTTTTTTCATAATTATCCAGTTGCCTGTTCAGCAGAACTGTCTCACTCTGCCCTCTGCTGGACTGGAATGACACTATTGTCCAGTTTCACTACACTGCCTCCTTCCTTCCTTAGCTAAAACGAGCGATATGCCTTATGCAACTGGTAACACTTCACTTCTGATGACAGATTAAAATAACAACCCACCAGAAATGACACTTGTCACCAATGTCGGTTTGCCTTTAGACACACTAAACACAAGAGTGGACAGGAAGCTGGGCCCCTACCTTGCGGTTAGCAGTCATCTTGCGCAGGAAACCCAGAGTTCGCTCCAGACGATTTCCTGACACGTCCTCTTTGTTTTCGCGCCCCTCAGCCTTTATTTGCCCTCTATCTATGTCCCAGCCCGGAGCAGCAAACTCACGGTCTATACTGTATCAGAAAGAAAAGGTGAAACATAGCAGTAAAAGTATGGATATTTTTACAATTTAATATGTTAGGCTATTTATGATTAAAACAAGACAGGATTGAGACATACCAGTGAGATGATCCTCCAATCTGGTGGTACGAAACACTCTCTAGATCACACCAAACAAGACAAGAAAAATGTTCTCATTGATTTGAGGAAATAGAACTTGCATTCAAACAAGTACATGACGTAATGCCTAATGTCAGTTTCAGTTTCAGTGCAAGGTAGAAATGTCACAAATAAGTCAAAAACATAAGTGGACGTAAAAAATTTGAATGCTTTTAACACATCATTTTTGAGTAGAAAATTATATAATATAAAAATAACATTAAAAACACAAACATAAAAGTGAGGGAAAGAACCACATAGGAAAAATAAATGAATGCTTTCAATAAAATGAATTTGTGAATGAGCTGGAAACCCCAAACGCACTCAGCTGACCATGGCAGTAGGAGCGCGGGCGAGGGGCAGAGCTCTTAGGCATCTGCGGCATCATACACAGGCTGGGGGCGGAGCTACTGCAGCCATGCATCTGATTGGACTGCTCCTGAGGGAGACATTTACAAAGCATTTATCTATAAAATATTTCATATACACTACTGTTCAAAAGTTTGGGTTTGTGCGTTTCTTCAGTGTCACATGATCCTTCTAATATGCTAGTTTGGTGTTCAAGAAACACTTCTTATCAATGTTGAAAAAGGTTGTGCTGCTTAATATTTTTGTATAACAGTTTTAATATAATATTTTTGCTTAATAGTTTTAAAACGAAGATACTTTTTTTCTGGCCGTGAACAGCATTTTTTTGAAATAGAAAAGACTTACATTTTGCCACTTTTGATCAATTTAATGCATCCTTGTTCAATAAAAATATGAATTTCTTTCAAAATAAATAAATAAATAAATAAAATATTATTATTAATAATAATCATCATCATCTTACTGACCCCAAACTTTTGAACAGTACTGTAGTGTAAGAATGCATATAAGAATATCAGGTTCTTAGCTTTACGTCTAAATTTACTGGAATCCAAGTTCAAGTGCAAATTCAGTATTGTGCGGTTCACATGAGTAGCCTTATTTAGCTGAACATGAAGGGCATTTCACATTTCCTTTGAATAAGGTACAAAAATAGGAGTTGAAACTCTTCAATTTGTTGTTTTTTGTCATCTTTTCCAACACATGATCAGTGAAATAACTTCAATTACATGAGTGGTTCTATTTTATATTTCTTTTTTTATGTAGTTTGAATTTTTTCCCACACTGCTGGCTTAGAAGGTGGCTACCTACTGTAAGGTATACAGTACACAGCAATGCAGCTCACAGAGGCTCTGTGTGCATGGTCTAACCTCCAGCGCTGATCGATGATGTTCCTGATGCTCTGCTCCAACTTCCTCCTCAGTAAGTGACGTCAGGGAGGCTTGAGTGACAGACCTGCGGGCTTCACGAGCTCTTTTTGACCTCAATGCTCCGTTTAGCACTAAGGACATCTCATCCGGGTCCAGATCTTCAAGACTCACACTAAAAAGAAAAAGAGAGACAGAATGAACACTAAATTCACATATGTTGTTATTGCATGACATGATACAACAAGGTAAGTAAATGAAGGTCAGGTTTGTTTTTGTTTTGTTGTCTGAGGACTATCATTACAAATCACCACAAATTATAAGTTCCACAGGACATCTGCAATAACATAAACAAACCAACACATATGTAAACACACACACATATATACACATTCATAACATTACAATTTTAAAAACTTCAAGCTCACTCTTTCCTCTTCCTTTGGTTGATTTTAAGTCGGCATCTCTAACGCAAACCTGAAAATGACCCACACTGCAGTGTAATGTTAGATTCTTACTGGAGAGACCTATGTATGTCTGTGTGTGTGTCCTTATTTATGCGTGTGTGCGTCTCTGTCTCCTCACTGAGTACATTGGCACTGGCTGGTGGTGATCTCACAACAATAGTCCGCAGAGTGACACAGTAGAGGCCCTATATCAGCACAGCCAGGGACCAATGTGTGTGAGAGAGTGAAAGAGTAATACGGCACAATATGGAATAAGAATAAAAGTAAATACCAGGAAGCCTATATGTAAAAAAAAAAAAGAGTAAATATATTTTGTTTTAAATTAAAATGAGCCAATAGGTTCTGATGCAACTAGTGCATCCCAAAAGACTACTGCAACAAATGGGTAAATATATAATCTTATATAATATATAATATGTTGTAAGAATCATATTCTGCATGGTTAACCATTAATTTCAATAAGTACAAGTACATAATTTAGGTTGTGTGGGTTTGCTGACAAAAACAGTTGGTTGTATTATGCATTTTAAAAGTTTTAAGTCACTAAGATTTTGTTTTTGAAGAAATGAATACTTTAACTCAGCAAGGATGCATTAAACTGTTAAAAAAAATTGTAAAGACATTTATAATTTTACAAAAGATTTGCATTTCAAATAAATGCTGTTCTTTTGAACTTTCTATTCATTAAAGAATCCTGAAACATGCATCACGTGTTCCACAAAAATATTGTTTTTAACATCGATAATAATGAGAAATGTTACTTGAGCACCAAATCAGCATATTAGAATGATTTCTGAAGGATCATGTGGCATGGAATAAAATTCAGCTTTGCCAACACAGGAAAAAAATTGATTACTTTAAAAAAATATTAAAATAGAAAACAGTTACTAATAAAATATAGTACATTTTAATATGTTATTATTAAAATGTAATAAATTACCATTTTAAATTATATAATACATAAAAAATTACATACAAATTTATATTATAATGTTTAGCCATCATGATAATACATGTCAGTACATATAAAGCCAAATTAGCCACAATTTCAAGTTTTTTTTTGTTTGTTTTTTAAATTAAGGTAGAGCACACTTGGACAATTCTGAAGTGCTAAAGTGTCACAGAGGTAAATGTGTTTTTCACCTGCGTGAGTCATTGGGTAGATATCCCTGTGCCACAGCTCCAGGTTCCCAGCTGTGTCTCCTCCAGGGGTCGAGCTGAGTCAGGTGACGAGTGGCAGGGGAGCGTAAGGTCACGACCAGAGGACCAGGGGAGATCGGTGGAAAGCATTGAGGAGGTGAGAATGAGAAACATACAGGACTAGGAGAGGGAGGAGGAGTGCTTGACATCTGGGTGTAATGAGTGAGGGAACAAACAAATAATGGGTTTGTGTTGTAAGTGCAAGAGGTCAATACATACAAAATTATTGGCATGTAAACATACACAGTTCTTTCCTCACACAGAAACATATATGCACAAATTCATACCGTGTCCATAAGGTCAGGCAGCTCCTCAGGGCCCATACTCAGATAATAGCGTCACTGCTCCCCCTACAGACCAAAATATGACATTGCTATTCCTAGAGAATGTGCTTTGGTAAAACGGTTCAATAAAAAAAAACAGAAGTCATATCCAATACACCTATTACATATCCAAACCACCACTACACCATCAAGTCAAAATTATTTGTATAGCGCTTTTCACAATAATCATTATTAATCATTAATCATAAAGCTGCTTTGAAACAATGTGTATTGTGAAAGCGCTATACAAATAATTATTGTTTATATTAATTATTGTTTTTACATAGTTAATGTTTATATTTTAATAGCGTCATGCCTTATTGTCACCTTTAGCAGATTAGAGTTGGGCGATGACATAGTTTGTTTTGCAACAATACAAGCAATCAATCAGCTGAGATTTGCTATATAGAATATATCGCTTTATGTTAGTATACTGTATGTATAAAGATGGGTATACTATACAATTTTATATACAGTGGGTACGGAAAGTATTCAGACCCCCTTAAATTTTTCACTCTTTGTTATATTGCAGCCATTTGCTAAAATCATTTAAGTTAATTTTTTTTCCTCATTAATGTACACACAGCACCCCATATTGACAGAAAAACACAGAATTGTTGACATCTTTGCAGATTTATTAAAAAAGAAAAACTGAAAAATGCTCAGTATTTAGTAGAAGCACCCTCTTGATCTAATACAGCCATGAGTCTTTTTGGGAAAGATGGGGTCTGAATACTTTCCGTACCCACTGTACATCATAAGTGCCCATGGAATCCGTTCAGATGATAAAACAAAAAAAAACAAAAAAAAATTGGGATCTGGTTGGTTGATTATGCCATTGGATAGTCTATTTTTTACTTCTAAAAAATACATTGCTCTATTACTTTAATGTACGACTTTTATTGTTTGTAGTTTATAGTATACTTAACATTTTCAAAACTGTAGCTTGACTACTTTAAATTATGAATACATTTTCAGTTTCAAAGTAGCTTCCCCAGCACTGATATAAACCACCTTTGATGTTCATGTACAGAAAATCAAATAAATTATATATTTTTACACTGAATGTGAGTAGTGCAGTAGTGCCTAGCACAATGCAATGAATGGTTACCAGCGCATTAAATGGTTGCTAAGGTTTGCTGATTAGTTTTTACCACATTGTTATCGGGTTGCTAAGGTGTGCTGGATACCAGGTAGCTGCTTTCAAGCTAAAAGTAAAAAAAGCCCACCTTTAAGTCTCTAGATATGACTCAGGTCTCTCCTACAATGTAATTCTATGCGGTTTTATCTGGTGTGCATGGTTTATCATCTGCCAGATGAAAATCTTAAATCCGTTCTTGCCTTAAGGTGCTTATTCTACCTGATGTGACCCTTAAAAATTACTCTTATTTGTGTAACCTAACAGGTTATTCAGTCATATAAAATATTTTTGACTTTCATAAAACCAGTTAATTAGCCTAGATGTTACCAGTATTTCTAGCATATGTAACAACTTTTTTGCAGTGTAAATAAGCCTGTTATCTGATATCATATCACAGTTCATTTTACAACTGCAATAAAAGTGCAGCATATGAGAGAATTCATCCCGTCATAAAAGCTGCCCTAGACCATTTCACATTTAATAAAAATTGTGTCGCAACCTTACAGTGTTTAAGTTCCAATTGCAGGGAGTTTCTGGAACGGGAGACTGATGGGCTGGGAACAGCTTTGGTGAATGTTTTCACTCCAAGAGTCTGTTTATCTCTCATTTTACCTCCCTCTTCCTTTCTTCCCCTCGGTCTCTATGGTTATCGCTTATTACATAACACTGTTTTGAAATCGTCTGTAGCGGTTCCCCTTCCATCCTTTTCTTTATTCCCATTCTAACAGAAATGTATTGTGAAGCACACATATAAAACCATTTCCTCTCGAGTAAAATGGCTTCTGTCTCTCTCTAGTATTCCTGTTTGCAGCAAACATTAAAAGTGAGTAATGCTCTGAAAATAATTTGTCTATGAATGTACACGTCACAAAGACACAGTCTGCCAACAGGCGGAGATAAGGCTGTTATTGCCTGTTCCACACCTTTGTGTACATGTACAATGAGAGAAAGTGAACTGACTGTAGAAAAGAGAATGTAGATGTTGAGACTGTAGCGATCAAAGTTCGTTGTTTTGTTTCCTAGCAATAAAACTGTCATTGCACTGTATATGATGCTTATCAAACATGCATCTTTGTTCTTAAATACAGTACATTTCTACTATCTTATGGCAATTTTTTGAAGACATCCTGTCATTTACTCAAACTCATGTTGTTCTAAATCATGGAAAACAAAGAACTGTATGTGCCAAACTTCAAAAAGGAAACAAAAGCACCATAAAAGAATCTTAAAGGGGTCCTATTATGCTTTTTCACTTTTTTAATTTTAGTCAGTGTGTAGTGTGTACAGGTGCATCTCAATAAATTAGAATGTCGTGGAAAAGTTCATTTATTTCAGTAATTCAACTCAAATTGTGAAACTCGTGTATTAAATAAATTCAATGCACACAGACTGAAGTAGTTTAAGTCTTTGGTTCTTTTAATTGTGATGATTTAAGTGGTTCATACAACTTGTGGACTTTATTAAAGCCATAATTCACTGACAATCTTCTTCTCAAATCAATCAAATCAATTCGATTCATGAACGAATCATTCGTTTTTTTTTTAAATGGATCAACTGATTCATTCAATGTGATCTGATTAAAAATATCTGATTCAAGACAACAGAAGAAAATGTTAGTGGAAAATCTAGTTTAGGATGCCAAAAGTTTTTTTTTTTCCTTAAGAACTTGAGTCACAAATATGCAAGGACAAAATCACTAAATAATTACATTTGTCATTGGAACAAATACATACTTTTTAAAATACAAAATAATGCAAAATACTGTTTTATGGCTGATATTTTGGCTGCTAAATTTTCACCTTTGGCAGGTGGACTCTGTGTACTTTTGCTCGACATAGATGTCATAGTATTTAAAATTCCACAAGATCATCACAAGATTACTGATAATACCATAATCACATTATGTCACCATGAAGGCAGCCAGCACTTTTTTTCCCTCCAGACACACGAAAACAGCAACTTTCTGTCTTTTATACACCCTCTAACCCCTCCTTCTTAGTCTTTCACTCCTCCACCACTCCTGGGCTTCTTTTTTCCACTCCTCTCACTGATACATTTACTCTTTCTTGCGTACTTTTGCCCCTCTTCCACTCTCTCTCTCTATATCCACCCCGATGTCAGAGTCTAGCCCCAAACAATGGATAGATCAAATTACTGCCCGATTCATTGCTCAAAAAAGGCGTGGAAATGGACGGTGGATTTTTATTGAACATATCTAATGTCTTTAAAAGTGAAGTGTGTGATTTCTGCACTGCTAGCACCGCAATAGCATGGCTGAAAAAAAAAAGACTGGTTTCAATCCGGTTTCCTCAACACTCAGTCCATGTGGTATTGGTCAAATAAACAAATAGTCCCCCTCAAGTACCATTGGTTATGCCAACGTTGCTGTGCTATTTGGAATGCTTAAGAAAAACCAAAGTCCCTTTAAGGCAAGTCATGTCACTCGGCGGCCATCTTTGAAATGCCTCACGGGCATGAAAGTGCAGCTCCTATATCTTTGAATGGGGAAACATCGAAATCTCCAAAATTGTTCGCCAAGTTTAAGATTAAATTTTATATTTGAAATCACCAATGAAATCTGACAATAACTGTCTCATAAATGTTGTTTCTTTTGCTCAAATAGTGTTTAAAAAAAACGTATTTTTCAGGCTAGACCAGCCAGTGCGCATGCGCAGTCCTGAGCTCACGTCTCAGAACGCTGACTGTTTCTATAGCAACCGGGACTTCTAACAGCAGCTGCAGTGACACGCTGACTTTACAGATTAGCGATTGGCTCTTTTACTCAGAAGGCGGTGCTTCGTTCGATTGAGCGGCCATATTGAGCGTTGCATTTTTCCCCCATTCAAAACTATACGAGTGACACGTCTTGGGTACTCTATAGTCTTTGGAAAAACACAACAAAAACAAATCGATGTTTGGAAACTGTTCACCATTGATAAAAAATTTTTTTTTTTTAAGAATATTAGAATGATTTTTGAAGATTCATGTGACTGAATACTGGAGTAATGGCAGTTTTGCCATCACAGGACTAAATTACATAAAACATCTTTTTATTATAATTTATTTTATAAAAATGTAATATAAAAATTTTTCACAATATTTACTGCATTTTTTATCAAACGCAGCCTTGGTGAATACGAGAGACCTTTTTAAAAAATATTCTTTAAAAATTTACCATCTCTGACCCCAAACATTTGAATGAGAGTGTATAATATCTCTAAGTCACTTTTATTTATATTTAGATTGTTTCAAAGCAGCTTTACAGTATTATAATATTTTCAAATTACAAAATTTTGTTATTATTTATTTAAAAATAAACAAAAAAGAAATAAAGTAATATTGTATATATATTTATTTAAATTATTATTATTCGAAGAAGAAGAAAAATAAGAAGATGCATTATTTCATGTTAGTAGTGTTGTTTACAAATGACCTTAAGTTCAAAAGTTAACAACAACAACAAAAAAAACTTAATGCAGAGTAAAACCATCTAAAACTGCTTCACAAAGCTTATATTGTTCATTACTCTCCATGAATCACGTGTCATTTTGTTGTGATGGCTGAAAGGCAAAAACTTTCTTTCCAAGCTCTCTTTTAAGTGTCCTGAGATTTTCTTACAGCCTATGTTTTGAAATTCCCCTCCCTTCTTTCATAATCCACTGATGTCATGCTCACACTGGGTCCCTCTGCCAAAGAGCAAACATGCCGGACAATAGGAGAAAGGATGTGTACAGTGAGTCAGGGTGAACTACAGGTCACCAGCTGTGTGCAAGTGTGTATACATACGCATGTGTTTGTGTGAGTGGAATCAGTGTTGATTGCAGGTGCATCACTGGCACACTGCGTTTAGCTCCTGACTCACCCCAAAGTTGTCACCATTAGCGACTGGATTATCATCCAAAACCGAGGCAACTGCATTTTGACATTTCAATGGAGCCTTTGAATTGTACTGCAGAAATCGAAGCTGATGACTACGCATTGCAACCGAATCAAAGTGACACTCACACTCGCTCACTCAGACACTCCTCGACAGTCTGCAGAACTCATTTTACGATCTGGGCCATCAAAGAAACCAATGCACCTTACATTTTAAAGTGACAGTTCACCAGGAAAATTACAATACTCACTCTCATGTTGTTTCAAACCGGTATGACTTTTTTTCTTCTGTAGAACACAGAAGGATATTTTTTAAAAATGTTCACACTGCTCTATTTTAAAGGGATAGTCCACCCAAAAAATGAAATTTATTTTATCATTTATTCACCCTCATGTCATTGCAAACCTCTATCGTTTATATTAAAGATAAAGTATAATTTAGAGGGATAGTCCACCCAAAAATGAAAATTCTAACCCTCATGTCATTCCAAACCTGTATGACTTTCTGTGGAACTCAAAAGATATGTTGAAGAATGTTGGTAAACAAGCAGTTTCGGGTTTCGTTTAGTTTTGTCCATACTATGAAAGTCAATGTGATCCGAAGCTGTTTGGTCACCAACATTCTTAAAAAGTGTTCCACAAAAGACAGAAAGTCGTACAATTTTGGAAAGAAATGAGGCTGAGCAAATAACAGAATTTAAATTTTTTGGGTGGACTATCCTTTTAAATACACACTTTGTCTTTAATATAAACAACAGGGGGCAAAATAGTTTAAAATATCCTTGATTCCTTCATTTACCTTGTGCCCTCTCACTTCCAAGATGTCTACCCCCCTCGCCACCTTGTGTGCTGTCAGTCACCAAATGACTATAAACATGCCCTCCACCCCCTCCTGTTTGTCTCTATTTATCCCCTCTTCCTTTTCTTATTCGCTGTGAAGAAGGCCGCATGTATTCTCAGAGGGGGGTTCTTATTAATACAGAACTCTTTAGCATGCTGAATATAATGACTAGATCCCTGTTTGCAGAGGTTAAGGGGTTTCCTCTTACGGCAGACTTTGATCAACTGAAGATTAACCGATGAAAAGCACTTCAGGTTCTCAAATATATACAGTAGATCATATTCAAATAATCTGAAGAATCATTGTAAAGTCATTAGACCAAGAAACTCTAAAAGGTCAATAGATCAAAAGCACTGACACTTGAATGCAGGGAATGAACTCACTTCAAAAGGTTCTTTATCATAAATCAATGCATTTGCAATCAGATCAACTGTTCCTGAGAATCTCAGGTCTGATCTTTAAGTCAGCAAAATGAAATGGAACTGATTTAAAGTTACAGAGTTCCAAGAAAGCATTCCTGTCATATTTGCAGCATGAAATAATGAGAGAATTCCTTGTTTAAGACAGACTGACTTCTACGGTACGGTATTAAAAAGAAATAATAATAATAATAATGAACTGTAAAAATAAAATAAACCATTTTAATAAATACCAATAATAAAAATAATTATTATAATATAAATTATATTTATCTAAAAATTATTTAGTATGTTTATAGGCTATATCTGAACACTCATTTAAGAGCTTTGCCTATGTATTTTCTAATGCTACACTGTAAAAAAAATCCGTAAAATTTACAGTAAAAAAACGGCATAAACCATTTTAATAAATACCAATAATAAAAATAATTATTATAATATAAATTATATTTATCTAAAAATTATTTAGTATATTTATAGGCTATATCTGAACACTCATTTAAGAGCTTTGCCTATGTATTTTCTAATGCTATCATAAACTGCCCCATGTTTTTCTCTTTTATATATGTTACACATTCATCTGTCACTTTCCCCATCTCCTACTTAGTATGATCTTTTCGGTGTCAGTTTCACCCCTAACCTCTGCTTTCCCTGGTTCAATCCTCTTTGCTCATTCTTTCTCCCTCTTTTCTCTCTCCATGAAATCATGTTTTTAAACAGAACTCCGTAGGTAAGAAAACCAGCAGGCCCTCACAAAGGTCTCAGGTAGCACAGGGGCCCCATTCTGAACATCCAAAAAGCACTTCCTTCTCCTAATCCTTTTCTTCACTCTTAACTGCTGTCATTGTTCACAGAATGAGTACAGAACCGGTAACGCGCACAATTAAGTATTTAACAACATAAAGGATGATGAAACATTTTAACATTTTGATTCTTTGGATGATTCTTTGAACTGACCAAAAAAAAAAAAAAAAGTATAATGCAGGAAATGGCACATTTTCGTTAACGTTTATTGATCTTACAAAATAAATGAACAAGTAATGGCACTTGTTAAAAGATTTAAGAGGTGCTACTCTTTCTTTTTCATTTTTTTTCATGTCCCAGACAGTCTCAATGGGTGTTCCCACTTGATGAAAACAGGTCGTAATAACTTTTAGTAACTTACCTGTCCGCTGTGATGTAATGTTTATATTCTATCCTAACGTCGTTCTGTCAGTTTCATCCAGACACAGACGCTCCTCGAGGTTTACTTTCTCCTCAAAAATCTTCTTTATGTGTTCATGTCATCTAAGCGGCGTAGACCAGATGGTTTCCGAGGCGTTTTCAGTCAAGACATTCCCGGACACACTCCGGTAAAGTAGCCTACATCATCTTCGTCTCGTTCGCAGGGAGCTGCGCTCGCTCTCGCGGCCACGCCCACATCCGTGACGACACCACAGCGTAGACCAGATGGTTTCCGAGGCGTTTTCAGTCAAGACATTCCCGGACACACTCCGGTAAAGTACATCATCTTCGTCTCGTTCGCAGGGAGCTGCGCTCGCTCTCGCGGCCACGCCCACATCCGTGACGACACCACAGGTCTAAGACTGCATTTATGGCCATATAATTTAGACAACACACTTCACGTGTGTGTGTGTTTAAGACAGTAAAGGAAAATTAGTTTTTGCCAACGTGGTCAAGGGATTATTAGTAAAGACTAGCTATCTAATAATCGGTCAGTAATTGAGTAGTTTATGTCAGGGTTCCTACACTGTTTGACCAACTAGCCTAATTTTCATGACTTTTCCTAATAATCGGTCAGTAATTGAGTACAGCTTATGTCAGGGTTCCTACACTGTTTGACCAACTAGCCTAATTTTCATGACTTTTTCAAACATTTGTGGTGCGAGATAATTTTCCTGCCCTGGAAATCCCACTTTTGAAATTCCCTGATATTTCCAGGCTTTTCATGATGATTGGAAACCCAATATGTGTTAAAACTCGATCAGACAACATTAAAGGACCAACTGCTTTTAATTTACACTAAGCAGTATCAAACACACCAAGGACACACTTTAAAACTAACAAACAGTATAGGAAAAACCACATGCGCCAAATTGCTTAATTTTTTCATAGCTAAGACAATAGTATCAAATTATATATAAAAAAACAAACACACCAAATCATTATTCACAAATACAGAAGCAAATGAGACAAATACTGCATAAGAAAAGTTGATACATAGAAGGCAACGACGCATTCAGAAGAAAAATCACTCACTAATCTGGCATGCTCCATTTAAAAATATAAATAAACATAATAAAAAATGGTACTAATACAAACAGTGGTCTGATGTTATATAATATTACAGGAATTACATCCCTCGGGCAAACGTTACATAACAGAATACAAAGTAACATTCTTGCAAGTCAGGTATAGTATACAAAATATATCAGGACAACAATATATAATATTAAGTTGTGCGATATTCACATAACAAGTTCTATAGGCAAGAGTGTAAGAGGGTAAAATCTTGCTATGTCTGGATAATGGAAGACTTCTCAAACTAAACAGTGATTTTAAATCTACAAGGAAGACCAGTATTCTTTGAAAAAGACTAATTTTACTTAATATAGTTTCTTGAGACTCTGACATTAAAGGCAACAATTAGTGTCTAGAATAATTCAAGCAGCATTTCATAAAGCTCAACACTGCATGACACCATTCAAATACATTTAAAGTGGCTCTTCACATGAAATCTCTGTTGATCAAACTCGATGAGGGAAGTCAATAAGTTGTAAAACTGTTAACTGCTTTACATGTCCAACACAATTTATGACAGCTGTATTTATCTGTTCATGTCATAAATGAATACCATCGTTGCTCAGAGATGACTGTACTGAAGATGCCTACTAGAACTACTATTCAGCCATACAGAAAAAAAGGCAACTGGTTGAATCTCACTATTATATCAATAAAGGGAATACGGTTTGGCCTCTGGTAGTCTAATTCAGGACAGAACATTTAGATCAGGTTTTTGAGAAGGTATGTATTTTAAGGCACTCAGCCCAAAAGTCCTCCCCTATAATTTGGTTTGCTTGTTTTTCTCTAAGTACATTAAACTATGACCCCGTTTACACCTGGTTTTAAGATCAGTCTAAGCTGATTCAATCACATGTTGTCAGTACTAAATGAGGTTCAGAATGTTTCATGATCGGTTTACTCAAACCACATTCAGAGGTAGTCAGAAATGCATGTGACCATGTTGCATTTGTAGTGTAAACGTAAAAAAGACCGCCTACTCAGTATATTTCTAAACGATCTGCATTTTTTTGTGCTTTTTAACATTATTCATTTTAAATTTGAAAATTTTTAACCGACAAAGTGATGTATATTGTCAGAGACCTTCCTTTGAACTGCTATTGCAAGCTGCTAAAATGTATTTGAGCTAGATGTTAGTACCAGGTATAAATGGGGCTTTAATATATTAGCATATAGGCTATTAAACAGTACCGTTCAAAAAGTTTAGGGTCGGTAATCTCCCTAATCTTTCAGCATCCCCTCCTCCAGTCTTCAGTGTCACATGATCCTTCAGAAATCATTCTAATATGATGATTTGCTGCTCAGCAAACATCAATATCAACACTGAAAACAGTTATGTGCTATTTTTGTAGAAAGCATAATGCATTTTTTGGGACTCTTTGATAAAAAGAAAGTTAAAAAGAACAGCATTTATGTGAAATATATATATATTTTTTTGTAACAATATAAATATCTTTAATGTCACTTTTGATCAATGTAATGCATCCTTGCTGAATAAAAAGTATTCCTTTCTTTGAATGAAAAAACATCCCCAAACGTTTGAACAGTAGTGTATATAGCATGTATATGTCCCACTGAAATAAATCTGAAAATAAAAACCCTCTTAGTTTAAGGAAAACTTAACATTGTAGGTACATCCTTCAAGACACCTGACCCTCCTGTCAACAGCACTTCAGGTAGAAGCATCACACTCACTCTGTCAGAGGTAGAAATCTATGGACATGCTTGCATATTAGCATAGAAAACCACAATGATCTCATGGCCCCATCCTTCTTTCAGATGTCGTCATTCACTGTAACTGGATATGCAGCTGGTGGTTGGGCAATTGCATGCACTGAGGTTCAAAGTCTTTGGATGGGTGAAGAGATCCTGTTGATTGCGGCCTGTGTCTCCTCCTGTTGGCAGTACAAAGTACTGTAGGTCGAATGAGTGCTGCCGCCTCGTTATAGGGAGATGCTTGAGATTTTTGACTCCCTCTACCTGTGAGATTTATGAACTGCTACTAAGACGCCTGCGTAAGAGAGAGGCAGGTTTTGTGCCTGTGTCCTCCTGATCGCTCTCACAGTCTCTCTGATTGAAAAAAAACAGAACAAGTAAACAAGCATTGCATTATTTATAACAATTAAGCACATTTACCCTGTACTTCTCATTACAGTAATGAGAAAGAATCTTTGCAACAATTAACAAGCTTTTAAAATTGTATTTTTCATGAGATTCTTACCAGTTCTTGTTGCTCCGGACCGCGGGCCTTACACAGTAATTGCAGTCGACAAAACCGATTACATGCTGAAACCATGTTAAAGGACATCTGTGTGGTGAGAAAATCAACTAGTTAGTTCATTTTTAATAAATATTACAGCCTACCTGTAGTGTTGGGCGGTATGACCAAACATTTATATCACGGTATTTTTCAATATTATACCGGTTTTCACGGTACATGACGGTATTTTTTTTTCATGCATGACCGGGTGTTAACCATATTTTCGGTTGTTTTGGCTATATTATTTTTTTGTCTCAAGCAGCGCACTGCCTGCGTCTGAGTAACAAACTAAAAACAACAACAAACAAAAAAATACAGCGGTATTGCGGTATTTTAAAAATTAATATCATAACAAAAATAAACACCGGTATTCGGTATGAACCGGTATATCGCCCAGCACTACCTACCTGTACAAAATATTTGTCACAATCCAGACAGAAAGAGAGCAACAAAAAGGCATCATGACAGAGTAACACAATGACTGAACAGCAGGTGTCTCTCTTTACTCCTAGGTCTGTTAGTTTAGAGAAGTGAGTCATCTGAGTCAGCTAAGGTAGTGTTAGCAACCGGTTCAGACACTTAAAGGAACAGTTTAGTCATTTCTGGTGCTTTTTGTAGAGTCCCTGGTCACTCACAACTAAAATCTATGTGAACTATCCTTTTAAGAGACATGCTACCACTGACATCACAGCGAATAAAAAGCATGCATCATCACATTATATAAAAACAGATGCCGATTAAATGTAAAAAGGCACTGAATGCAGAAATTGATATGACTGATATGGCTGATATGACAAATAAAAGCAAAACTAGATGTTAATTAATACTACAGGAGGGACAGAGAATGACTGAGGGAGACAAAAAGACATGAAAGACAAAGCATGCAATGAGACACAGGTTGTGACAGAAAAAGTTGGTCTGTGGGTAACGACAGTCTACACACTCCAGCCAATAGCGAGTTTCTCTGACCATGTTAACAAAACCCACAGCAGTGACACGAATACCAACCTTCCATTTCCTCCTCGCATTGAACTTCTTAAAGTTCTTCATGTTGATGGAGGAGCGGTTCCTCTTTGCTATTTGAGTTCTATTGAGAGGCTGAAATAGAAATGGATGCGGAAAACAGTTACTGAAATGATCCTGACGAGAAGGTAAAATGAATCAGAAAATATAATATGAGGAAACGGGTGAGTTTATGCATCTCACCTTAATCCAGGGATGAATGAGACACTCTTCTGCTGTCATCCTTTCACTAAATACAAATGCACAAAAGTAGAATAAAAACATTTAACCCCTAAAAATATTCAGATTAGACCGTTAAAGATTAAACTATTCAATTATTCTAATATAATCAATACGATTCTTGTTACCTCTGGTCTTTAACTAGCAGTTTCTGGATGAAGTCTTTGGCCATGTTGCTGGTTTGGCTGAAGTAGTGAGGCTCAAACTCGTACTTCATTGCCACAATGTTCCTCAGCGTCTCTTCGTCCGTCTCACCTTGGAACGGTGACAGGCCGCTCAAACTGATGGCATAAATATACATGAATAACAAATGTTTTGTTGCCTAGAGAACCTAGAGAAGGAGTAAACACTGCAGATGTAAGTCTTTAGTAAAAATTGATTATGGCAAGCATAGTTTCCATCAAAATACAACAGTTTCTACAGGTATTATTCCTGCAATATCTCTCCCCATAACCTGGGATAATAGAAAATATGTTAACATTTAAAAAATATGCACACCACCATGAAGATCAACTGCTTTATCCCTGCATAAAGATAAAGGCTATTACTAGTCAGTCTGTTGGTTATCTGCTCTTTGTCTGGTGTACTTCATTTCTAACATGACTGATCTCAAGCCATGGGACCTGACCTATAAACTTCAAAAAGCACATTGCTTGTCAAAGGGAGGCTTTATTTCGGAGATAATTTATGTCCCAGTTAAAATCTGAATATTTGGAACAGCACTTTGGTTTGCAGACTGATTCTTAAAGGATTTGACTTTCAGGAGTGTTATAGTATGATTAACAATGGAAGATTACTTACAAAATGTAGGTAATGACACCAATGCTCCTGAAAAACATCACAAGAACATGATTAATCATCATTAATTGAATCTTAAAACCAGTGTATAGAATTCTAAGCTATTTAACATGCAATTTTTTTTAAATCATATAATTCTAAAATATCATTCCTAAGGTCTACATTTTGATATAGAAATTCACCTGTATTTATTTAATATATTCTTTTATCCAAAGTGACTCACTTAAATGTTCACATTTTATCAGTGTTCTCTGAAAATCAAACCCATGACCTCGGCTTTGTTTGTGCCATGCTGTACCAGCTGGGCTTCAGGAACGAATGAGATGTAAACCAAACAAGTGTTATGCTAACATTATGCTAACTAGACATGAGTTGCTGTCTTTGGCGCAGCAGATGATAGCTACAGAGTTTTGTCAAAAGCCAAAATAGTTTGCCTTCCTACAATGTTTCGCACATGACATCCATTTTCAGATGCATATTATGAAGTACAAATTCATATACATGCTGAGACAAATGCACTTTAATGAGCACCTGGGGATGTCAGAGGATGACAAATCAAGTCTGAGCATGCCCGAAAACTCCCTTAAGCACTCTAACACTATATATTTCCATGTTTGTATGAGTGTTTGTGTTGCTAATTTAATCAGGTAAGACTTACCACATATCTGCTGCTGTACCGAGAGGCTCGTAGTTGATAATCTCAGGGGCTGAAACAGATGGAGAGAAACAAAGGCTTAAGGCAAGTAAAAATAAAAATCTTCTGTTGGCTCTCATAAATTCTTCAGCATTTTTCTCAGCAATTTTATTGCATTAATCAAACGTTTCAAAGAGCTTTGGCCGGACAGAAGCAGACATATTTGTGAAGTCAAACTTACAAAATGACACCATTAAGTGCATTCTTTGAGACCAGCAGCACATGTTCACGTCCTCACATGAACCACAGTAGATTGTGCTCTGTTCCCCACTGAGTTTCATACGAACAAAGCTTCACTTTAATTTGATACAAATGCAGCAGGATTTTGTTGTTATTGATGGTTTAAAGTAGCTGACTAGCAAACAAACTAGGCATGAAGGCATCTCCTGTTAATCTCTAGTTGTTTTGTGACTGAAAACCACTCATAGGAATAGTTTAACCAAAAGAAAAATATATATATATAAAAAAGCTTTCATCACTTATTCACCCACATGACTTTTGAACACAAAATGCTTGGTACAATATGAGAGTGAGTAAATGTGGAAATTGTATTTTTTCTTTAAAGTGGACAAACCTGTTCAAATGAAAATGCATTTTAAATAACAAAGTGGTGGTGATAGTTTAATTGCTGAGGATTTCGGCAGCTAAAACAGGTTCAGCCATAAGTAGGCCTGACTCAGGAACTGGTGTGTCACTGACATCACAATTCAGCCTATCACCAGATGTGCTTAGAAAAACACTTAACCTCTAGTTCTTCACAAAGGATGTCCTCATGATAAGTAAAGTGCTAGTCACTTTGAACAAAGGAGTCTGCTAAATATCAAGTAGCATACTACTTCTGCCTAGTCTCATGTAGAAGTAATACTTGGTTTGTCCAGTACCAATATTTACAGTTTTCTATACACATTTACATTTATTCAGTATTTATAGGAAATATATATATATTTTTTTTTTAAATATGTAGACTATTTATCTCACAACAACTAGTAAAATTATTATTTCATATTAAAATGATTATCATTTACTATTATATTATTAAACTATTTATTTATTTTATTGATCTAATACATTATTTATAATTTATAATTTAATATTCATATTATGCATATTTTAAAAAATTAAAAAAATTATATTTACATCTCACAAAAACTAGTAAAACGAATATTATTGTTATTATTATTTAATATTTTTAATTACATTCATTTATTTTATTTATTTAATACATTAGTTATAGTTTATAATTCATATTTATTTATTTATATTATGTATATTTTTACTGTTCAAATGATTCGACTATTTATTATTGTTTCAAAAGTAACTATTTTTATATTATATTATTTTTATATTAATTTAAACAATTATTATCAAACAATTATATTCATTTAGTAACATAAAT